AGATTGGTTCCACAAGAGTGCTAGTCCACCGCCACCACGACTTTGCGGGGAGATTAACTTATAAGAGTTGAACTGCAGTGCTTGGAGCTTTTTGAGCGTAAGTTCATCTGAATTCTTGGTCTCCATTAGGAAAATTATGTCAGGAGAGATGTCTATATTCATCTCTGAGAGACGTCGAACTGTTGTGGGATTTCCCAAACCACAACAGTTCCAGCTCACTACTTTTAAGGAAGAGGAGGGAGTGGATTTTGAAAATCCACCTTCTTCTTTACAATTGCTGGTATGATGACTGCTTGTGGGGGTTCATGTGGGTTTGATGGTCCTGCCTGATTAGTAGGGAGTGATAATCTTTGTTTTGCAGGGACTCTATGGCCATTGCTTGTTCCACCTTGTCCTGGAGGTACAGAAGTATCTCCAGTTGATTTCCTTCTTGGAGAAGTGTGGATAATCTCTTTGTTCCTTTTACTGGATTTAGCACCAGTCAGTTTCAGAGGGCTCTTGTTGCCCGGTTTGTTTAATGGAGGTCTTCCCCTCTTTTTCTTGACAATAGAAACCCCAGCTGCTTCCTTCTCGGCGGGATGAATTGGGACATCAGGGGACAGAGGTAAGTGGCTTGGTAATTGGTTAACCATTGTTCCATCATGCTCTTGGTTTGCTCCAGGGGATGCTGCTAAAATTTGAGCCGCAGTCTCAGCCATCATGCCTCTAGCTTCCCCTTGTAAAACCCTCTGTTTCCTAGCCAAACTTTCAGTTGGATCCGCACAGCTTGTATATTGGACTGTCACTTCCCTTAATTCATCCATGACTGTTTCTTTTGTAGGTGCCAGCGCATGTGGAGACATTGATTCTCCTACAATAGACTCCCTTTCCAACGGAGGTCTTCTTGTTCTTGAGTTTTCAGAGCTACCAATTAGGTCAGTATTTGGTCTGGTTCTTTCTCTCCATTGGAAGTTTGCTTTATGAGTGTTATGGTGATTTCTTTCCATATTCCTTGGTGGTTCTCTCCTGGAGTAATTGAGACTTCTAGTAGGGGTGCGCTGGGAGCTAGTATCTTTGTGGCTGTCCATTCTTGTTCTAGATGGGGTACTGTTTCTCAGCTCCCTGTCATCATATCTCCTTTTATTGGAGTTATAATCTTCCCTTGACAGATTAAGTCCAGAATGGCTGCCCTGGTAATCCCTTGTTGGTGATTTGAGGTAATCCTTGTTATGTCCCGAAGTAAAGTTATTTCTTTTTGGAGACGGCAGATTGGAGCTCTGTTTGATAGGATCTTTTTCTTTGAGGAGGCCAGGGCATGTAGCAGCCTCATGTGTGAGCCTTTGGCAGTGAAAGCAGTATTTCTTTAGATTTTTATACTCTAGTGTGACTAGTGCTTCCTTTCCATCTGAGAACTCAACAACTGTTTTTAAGGTGATTGGTTCAAGCCCATTGATTTGCACTTTAATTTTTGCTGCAGCTGGAGTGATCTCATGATCCAGAACTAAGCCTAGTTCCTCTCCTATTTTGTAGACCATCTGTTTTTTCCAAAAGTGCATCGGGAGGCCCTGAAGCTCAATCCAGAAGGGAAGTTGTGAAGGGAAGGTTGTTGAGATCACTGGTTCCCATCTTTGAAGTATGACCATCCATTGGTCGAAATGGTAAGGCCGATTCTCTAGGACTTTCAACAGGTCCTCTTCAAAATCAAATCTGAACTGAAAACATCCATTTCCCAGATCTGAGCCAATGGCTTTACCTCTTCGATTCCAGCGGTTTGATAGGTATGGGATGAGGGACCATAGTCTTTGAGCTGTTGGATTTGTCAGCCTCCCCATTAGTGTGAGCTCATTTTCTTTTATTAGGTCAGAGTTGTCCAAGTCTGGTGCTCTGATTCTTTTGAGTGAAGGAGCAGAAAACTCTTCAGCCCTATCTCTTCCACCTCTTTGACTTTGGTAAGAAGGACTTTTTGCACGGTGAGTACTTGGCTGGTACCTTTGTTGGCTTTTTGTTGTCTCTTTGTAGTAGTTGACAACATTCTTCCCTTTTGCAGAGTAGGGAATGCGTGAGCTCATGCTTTCAGTGGAAGTAGGGTCTTCTTAAATGTAGTTGACGAGATTTAGGTAAAGTTCTTCACACAAGGTGAGAGTTTTCCACTAGAGGAGTTATCCTTTCTAGTTTCCAAATTTCTTCACATATAGTGAGAGTAATCAAGAGAGTTTGACCAAGTTAAAGCCATAAATGCAGGTTTGAAGAGATACCTTAAGCAAAGATAGAGTTATAAATGTATATTCCAGTTCTCCACTTCCTTCAAATCTGAGCTCTTGAGGGTTGAGGGTAGTATTGTTGACAGTTCACAGGGCGAGGGGCGTCTCCTACGCCGGGCTCTCCTGCGAGAAACGCCGTTGGGTGCTCTCTAGCTTTGATTTTGGTCGGAGTTTACTATTTTGGGTAAAGAAAAGTGGTTGAGGTTTTGCTGTTTTTAGTAAAATAAGAAGGTTTAGATCTTCTTTTCAAAAACCTTTACCAAGAATAGCTTCTCGTAAAACGTGCCTGGGAGCTTTTTTTCACATAACCGGAGGCTTATTACACTTTTTTAAACAACCTTATGAAGGGTAAAATATTACATAAAATGCTATTGGTTTTTAGTGTTTTAAAATAAATTCATTAGGGATACAATAGTAATCACAAAATTAATATATTAAATAAAAAATAGTAAAATTCTTTTAAATAATTATTAGTTTCCAAAAAATTAAATTCACTTTCTCTTTCTTATTAATTATAGACGAAATTTTGAAATTAATTTCTAAAAATTGTTAACCAATGAGAATTAAAAAATAAGATTTGATATCCAATTAAGATTTTATCTAAACCAATCCTAATAGACTAATCTATATCAAAAATAAAAATAAAAATAATATCATTTTAATTCAAAATTAAAAACACTATCGTTTAAAAAGATTTATCAATAGAGGATTTTAAGATTGTATTTGAAATTTTGTAAAAAAAATTAAATACAAATATTTTAAGATTTAGTTTTGTTAAATATTTTTACAAATTTTGAAATATAAAACGAAATTTTATTTCACAATTTCTAAAAAACCATATTAGATATTAACAAATATTTATTTTTAATATGAAATAAACTCAAATAATAATAAATTTAAATTTAGAGCAAGTTTCAGAAATATCTAAACAATAGATTGTACATATTAATTTCGAAATATTTTGTGTTTTATTTTGTTCTTTTCAACTGGATCTTCCTTAAATAAATCCCTAATATATTGCACACAATTTTTGAAATTATGTAAACTAATTATATATTTTGCATTCAACACAAATTATGCAGCAATAGCAGATTCCTTTTATAGATGTATCTCAAATTTTTATTTTTAGTCCAAAAATCGAATTAATTATGATTAAACAATGAAAAGAAGAATATGCAAAATTTAGCTAAGGAAAGAAACATTAATAAATTTGTTAAAATATTTGTAACTTTAACAACATACATATTAATGCGCCAAACTCACAATATGTATTGTATGGTATTTAAAAGTAAGTAAACAAGAATTTGGAACATGGTTTTAATGGAATGAAATGAGAATAGGAATTACGAGACGGGATGACAGGGGAACATAAATTAAAAATCAAACTAAATACTCAACTCATATGAGTTCGTGTTATGAGCAATATATAAAATAAAGTTGTTTGTACACATAACCCTATACGTACGTTTTCAGTTACACATATTCTATTAATGATAGATACGAGACCGTAATATTTTTATTTTACGTATACGAGACGGTGTATGAGACGAAGAATTTATGACAGATACAGGACGGGATAGGTTTTCTGTTCCAAAATAGTTACGCCTAGCTAATATACATGAAATAACCCAAACTAAAACCGAATCTATATCCTATTTAACACATGTAATCAAACTGTTAGAATTTTTTTGATTAGTTTAGAAAATAAAAACGTAACATCACTTAACTTTTGCAACTAAATAATATCTTAATTTTATCTTAAATACAATTTCAAACGTACGGGTAAGTCCGAATCTTAAAATATAACTATGCACTAACGCAGCTGAATTTCATTCATTACTCTAACTTTATAATATCTTATTATTACGAAGTTCACTAACACAATAAAATATTATATATTTTTAAAATCTATATAACAATTTATAAAAAAAAATATATCTGCACATACGTGTGGATCTAGATCTTATACACTAAAATATATATCATAAAAACAACAAAATAATCTATATTGTATGAAAAGTTGTAAGAAATGTTTTTAAAATATGAAACCTCGCACGTACGTGCGGGTCATGATCTAGTAGTAGTATTAATTAAGCTAAGTTAAGAGATTTGTTTTCATATTGCCTAAATCGTTTTGTTAAAGATCATAACAAATCTCGTTTTTTTTTTTTTTTTTTTTTTGCATAATTTAATCAAGATTTGACTGCCATAAATCCGGGTCAAATGAATGAAACAACCCGACCCACCAGTGACATTCCATTGTAAATACTTCTCAACTTCAGGATTTATTTGCTAAATACACTTCAAAAATATAAATATAGATGATTTTAATATACTTGGATTTTGATAGAGTTTTATATTCTTATATCTTAAATTAATTATAAATTGAAAAATGATGAATTGTGAATTATTTTTTAATTAGTTAGGAAAAATTCTATATCTAATAACATGAGATTGTGGAAGACATTTCAGAATTTTACACCCATTAAAAATGGATTTTAAAAAAAGTCCCAAAGATTAATGTCTTCAGAAAACACTTTTGAGTATTCTTTTGGTTTAATTCGGTTTAGAAAAACCGATTGTTTGTTTCCTAAATCGGTTTAGATCTAAAGATTGAGAACCAAATCTTATAAGCAAAGAAGCTAGAAGAAAATTTCCCGACGAAAGAAACTCGTTTTCAATCTCTGATTACTACTCTCTTTCAATCGAATTCGGATTCTCAGCTTCTGGGTTTCTTAAAAATCTCATCTTTCACAGCTACGACTCTTTGTATCGATCTCTGGGAGCGTAGTAATCGTTGAAATTGGTTTCAAACACTTTTAGGGTTTTTGTGGTTGGGGGATATTGAAGAACAATGTCGTCTTCTTCAGTAATTAAACCAGAAGACGTTCTTGAACATCTTATGAACGATGGTACTATCGATGCTCTCCGATTAAGAATCATCAATCAGCTCAAAGCCAATGTAAGTTCTTTGATTTGGATTTGATTTCAAAGTTTAAAACTTTATGTTTTTTGTGATCATAAAGTTAATGTTTTTGTTGTTGTTGTGATTGTGTGTAAAAGGAAGAGTTAAAGAGCACAACGATTAAAATGGCAGAAGAGAGTAAAGTTCTGAACACACCTGGTGCTGAGAAACAGACTAAAAGAGAACTCTTTGATGCTCTTCGTCAAGAACTCGAGTAAAGTTTTCTCCTTTTAGATATCTCAACTTAGTACATTGATTTTTGATAGCTAGTTTCTGTGTATTATGGTTAAGTATTTGCATATGAAGAAGAAGCCTTTGTGTTTTTCTTGCAAACTAATAGATTTTCAGTGAGTATACATAGAGATCGGTTTTCATAAAATTTACTTCATACTCATAGCTATAGCTCCCACCTACCTCTAGAGCTGATTGAATATTATAAACCATTCACTGGAGGTGCAGTATCGATCTTGTTTTGCTTTACATTCTTAGAGCATTTATGTATATCGATTTTCGATAGTTCTATGTTATATTCTTAGAGCTTATTGAATGATATAGGAAATTTATGGTAGGTAATATGTATAACGGTTTATATATGGATATCTGTTTTACTGAATTCTGCTTCATACTCTTAGCTATAGCCCGCAGCTAATTGTAGAGCTGATTGAACGATATAAACCTTTCATCGATCTTGTTCTGCATTCTGCATTCATATTCTTAGAGCATTTATGGATATCGGTTTTTCATAGCTCTACGTTACATTCTTAGAGCGGTTTTTCATAATTCTGCTTTCATCGATCTTGTTCTGCTTTACATTTTTAGAGCATTCATGGTTACTGGTGTTGCATAACTTTGCTTCATACTCTTGGCAATAGCCCCCACCTAATTTTAGAGCTGATCGAATAGTATAAACCACTCACAGTAAGTAATGATTTATATTCCTTGGAGGTGCAGTATCGATCTTGTTCTGTGTCACATCCTTAGAGCATTTATGAATATCGGGTTTTTTTCCAATAATTCCGCATAACATTCTTAGTGTTGATTGAATAATATAAGGCCATTCATGATAGGTAATGTTCTCTATTCGTTGGAGCTACCTGTATGTATTTACTAATATACACAGTTACTCGTCTGTTTTATTTTGTTGTTGGAAAAAAATGTGTTGGTAAAATATTTACCATTGTTTGTTGTTGTTGTCTTTGTGGGCAGAGGTCCAGTGCTAGAGAAGGCATCAAAATCAGTTTGGGATCTGATTCTTGAGAAGGATGGGTTAGGGAAAGAGATAAACGAAACAGTAGAACGTGTCTTTTGTCATCTAAGCGGGCAAGAACCACCTTTTTATTCTTCATCAAACGTGGAGAAAACCCCGATGGAGATAGAGAAAGAGACGGAGATGAAGGAGAATAATAGCTCAAAGACAAAACCAAAGAAAAGAAGTCTTAGTGAGGTGAATTCCTCTGAAGGTACTGATGAAGTTGCAACGACGAAGAAGAAGCAAGGCGATTCCTCAACTGTAACTTTAGAATCTAGGAAAACGCCTTGAGCCTAAGTTATGAGATATTTATCATGTTCTGTTGTTCTGACTCTTCTGATATAGATAGTCTTGGTGTTTTATTGTTGACATTGCTCTTTTCAACTACTGTATCTCTAATCTCTAATAATATATAAAAGAAAAAGATATGTTACAAGTTGCGTTTAGTGGTAAGAATATGTGTTGCAACCCTTGTTCGAAAAATCGCTAGGTGCTAGTAGGGCACTCGGCATGGGCCTAGCGATTAATCGGATTAAAATCTGGGATTAATCGGGGACTAGTTTTAGGGTTATTTTAATATTTTTAAAAGTCGTTTTATACTTGCAATCTAAAAATAATCGGATTATGCAAGATTAGACGGAAAATAATTGGATTAAGCGGGGAGTAATCAGATTAGGCGTAAAGTAATCGATGACTGATTTTTCAAAGAATCAGTCATTAATCAAAGCGGATAGGGTGGACCTAGCGATTAAGCGGAGAGTAATCGAAGGTAAGCGGAGAATTTTAGAACAGGGGTTGCAACTGTATAATTGGTTTTTCTCTTTGTCGACAACTTATATTAATCAAAAGAGCCAATCCAAGGAAACATTGTTTACATACGTTACATAATGCGGTTGTAGAGCAATTATTTTGAGAATTTATTAAATTTTAGTATGTGAAAGTGAAATAACAAAGATAAAAATATGCCAAAAGTTCCACAAGTCGAAAACCCATGAGCCATGAATCTCAAATCTTCAACATGGATCCATGCAATGCCAATGACAACATTTCTTACAACGTTGTTGACAGTTGTTGTCTTTACCACAAGGTCCAGAGCAAATATAATAACACATCCTCGGGTTCCAGTACATTCCACTAGCCCCTGTAAACATCATTAACTAGAAGTTATAACCATCCTTCTTGAATACAATTATCAAAAATCATATAATGAAAACAAAGTAGGAAGAGAAGCGTATCCAAAGACGCAATCAGTACAAGCTATATGGTTCATGTTTCGACAGTCGAACTTGCGGTCTGTTTCTTGACTCTCAGAGTCAGTCACAGTCATTGCTCTCACGCCCATTAGTACCAAAGCCATCATCATTGTTATCTTTATCATCATCATATTTTTTTTTTTCGTTTTTTAGTTTGCTTTTGTTAAGATTTATCAACTACTGAATCAACACATTTTGATTATATATAAATTTATGAATAAGATGCATATCATGACCGTTCAGAAAATGGCAGAATTATGAATAATTAGATTGCAACAAATTTGTCAATATATTCTGCAACAAATTTGTTAGAATATATATCCTATACTAATATTTGGGAAGTACATCCTAAGGATCATAACGTTGATTTTGTAAGAAATTACAATATATGCCATTAGAAAATTCTAATTATAATCATTTTATTCCATGTCATTAATATATATTAACGGGTCAACGGGTCAACGGGTCAAATGGGTTTAAAGATATTAAAGAGATTTTGTTTATATATAATCCGAATTTATACAAAAAAAATGTTATATAATTCAAATTTATAAAAAAAAAATGTTATTTTGAATTATAGTAATCATATATTAACGTTCTAAGTTATTAATAAATTATTCAAAAATGTTATTGAAAATGTTATATACTAATCCATTATTCGAAAATGTTATTGAAAATGATATATCATTGAAATTTTTTTATATAAATCGAATTTATAAAGAAAAAGTTATTTTGAATTATAGTAATCATATAGTTCGAAAATGTTATTGAAAATGTTATATAAATTTTAATTCCATGTCACTAATATTAACCAATTCATTAGAAAACGGGTCAATGGGTCATACGGGTTTAAAGATATTAAAAGATTACCTAATATATAGGAAGCCAATCACGAATATAACAAACATGGATTTTGTTTAGATACAAATAATTTTTAATCATACAACGAAATTTAGTTTAGATTTTAAAATATTTTCTTAACTAAACTATACTAATTAATTATGATTAGTATATATGGAAGAAAAAAACGAAATTGTATATATGTAAACTAATTAAATTTGATAATATATTAATAGATATTTCTAAAATCTCTGAATCGGGATTGTCTCAAAAATTTTGTTTACGTGTACTTCGCAGATTGGCAAAGATAAATACATATAGAAATGATATTTTTAATTTACTAAATCAGAAATAAATATAGCATCCTAAATCTTAGTACTTGCCATAACAATTGTATATTTATTCGAATAGATTCAAAACGCAAATTCAAATCCCCTGTATTAAGCAACTACAACAAACACCAATTAAAAAGTCAACAAAATATTCGAATTTTCCTAAAATATAGTTATCATTAACTATTAAATCTAAAATCTTTCAAAAATTGTTAACCACGTAAAGATTTTGTAGTTAAGGAAACAAAAATTTATTTTTGAACATAATTTTGATTTTTAAAAATTCAAATAGTAATGAATCTTGCAACTTATAATTCCGTATATTATGGGAATCAAAGATTTTTCTTTTTCAATCATAAATCTACTTAACATTTTTGAAGTACAAATTTGCTCAAAGCCAATCGGGTCGGGTTTTTAGTTAGATTTTGACCCGGATTTTTTTTTTGACCCGACTCAATGGCCAATCACATCTCTCGGATTCTTTTAAATGAGACTTACCAAAAAAAAATCAAGTAATTCGAGTCAATATTCGCCAAGATACTTTCCTAATCTACAAATCCTAACAATGGAATCTCTTCCACAAATTTTGACTATTATTATGTATATGACCCGCGGTTAATTATAAATCTTGAGTTAGGATTTTCCGTGTGAGATTTCCCTACAAAAAAGGAAACCACCTTAACAATTACGTTTTGATTATTTTTTGATTTGTAAACTAACTAACAACAAGCATATTCTCAAGATATTCAAATATCAAAATATTGCCTAAACCAAAATATCTAGAACATTCTAACGTAAATGTGTTAACAAGAATATTGGTAAGATTTCAAAACAAAAAAGAAAACGACATAAACTATTGCATTAAAGATCCGATTCTTAGAATTAAACATGGAATGCTAATAAGAAACATTATATGAAAATCAAATTTTCTCCTACAAAAATGGTAAGATAGATTTCGACTTTGAACTGCAAAATGGTATATTCCTTACCTCATCTTTCGTTTACAATAATATTTTGTACCCTATCTAGAGAATATGCCTAATATAGTTAGCATTAATTTCAAATTTCAAGATTTTCAAGATTTTGAACTTGATCACCAAGATTTTCTCGCTTTACAATCAAACCTAACCCTAAACATCTACAACCTCTATATATAACATGTCAACACATGCAAAAAAAAAAACAGGGCATCAAGAAACATTGTACCTTTTACATCCTTAAGAAAGCTTTTCAATATCTCCATGGTTGCTTCATTTGACTATCTTAGAGGCTGCTTTACCAAATCGCATGACAAGTCCAAATTAAGATTCTGCATCATGACAGCAATACACAACCAAAACTGGTGAGATTCTGAACTCAAACATCACAATCAGTTTTCAAATTCAATTTTTTTTGTTTTTTTTCCTGCAGATTATGGATGACAAGAAAGGGTTTGTGCTTGAAAAAGATGGGGTCTTGCTCCAATATGTTGGATGAAAAGAGTGGCGATTAAAAAGGTTAAATTGAAAAGGTTTTGTTTCAATCCTTCTCCGTAAAGCCTTTAATTGCGTTTTGATATTACATTACACTATTGTATACATTCCCTTTCACATATATATATATATATATATAGCGCACCAAACTATATCTAGCATATCATCTAATCCATACCTATGCAAAGATGGTTTAAGTATCCAGCACGAAATGATACAGAAAGAGTCCAACTTCTCTGCTTGAGCTTCGTTGAGGCCGCGTGTTTCTGCAGATTCGGAGACAATACAAAGAAGATAAAGCACAATCCAATGAAATCGAAGACACAATCTCTGTAAAGGAATCATTTTTATCGCTAAATTACCTTAGCAGCGTGAATCGCTTCCTTCATCATCATCTTCCTCATTAAACGATCTAGGGTTTCTGCTTCTCTGTCCCAATTTTGGTATGCGAAAAGAAGACTCGCAAAAATTTCTTTTTTACAACAAAAAAAAATAGCTCACGTGGGCTTTGACTCATAAAATACTTCAGGCCCATTAGTATAAACAAGCCCAACTTTATTCTTTTGACTTTAAAAATTTCAATTTTGAAAAAAAAAATGTACGAGGCTTTGACTTTGAGAATTTAGACCCATTAGGATAAACAAGCACATATTTTTCGATGAGTTTTTGGTTCATTTGTAAAAAGTTCATAAAAAAAAACATTGTTCGTCTAGAAATAATCCAAACTGAATTGAAGTGAACCAAACCGAAATTTATTAATCTAAGATCGACCCAAATGTTATAAGAATTATTTGAACGGTTGACAAAGTTCTGTACCCCAATAATATATATATATATTATGGAAACCATTTGAACGTAAAATTTTAAATTGACTCGAATTATATGTCTTTTAAATAAAAGTGTTATTAAAAAAAATAACATAATGATGTTTAATTCCACAGTACAGGAGTATATGGTGGGACGGGTTTGGATCGATATTAATACGGGACAATATACCGCGGGTGAAATCCTAGAATTAACAAATAAAAATTTAATTATACAATCTTAAACAGTAAACAAAACAAATACAACTTAAATTTTTATTTTTTATATACAACGCATGTGACCCGCGGTGTACAACAAAAAATATTATACACAACAAATTTATCAGTTTATAAAAAGATAAAAAAAAAACAAATAATTAACCCGCGGTATACCGCGGATCATATCCTAGTTTAGTTATATATAAGGATAGTTTTTTAAATTTAATAACAAAATCACCATATTTGTTAAGATCTTAGTAGTTAAATATATCTAGATTAGTCGGCTAAACCTAAATTATGTACAAGCTATCTCTCTATAAATGAAGTTATTTCAAGCTAACTCGGTTTGATTTAAGGTTTTGTGTGCCAAAATAAAGTTAATAATATTATTTTTTCTTTTGTCACTGCAGATAAAAACTCCACTTATCTACACTTATGACATTGATGTGAAGCGTAAAACATCTAAGAGGGAGATTGTGGTGGTTCATGAAGACGCAAGGGCTGATATATAACACAG